CTTCCCACGGTGCCTTCTCATTGAATTTCTGTGGTTTCTTTCGTACTAGATCACCCCTATTGCTGACACTCATGTCTGGAATGTGACTTCTGACAAGACTGAAGATGTCTGCATTAGGGTTTAGCTGTGGGGTCTGGAAGGGGCTTCTCGTTGTCTGAGGCTGATTAGGTCCGTGGCTAATATATCCTCCTTGTGTAAAAGACAGTAAATCATCGTTTAAGGTATTTAATTCACTTTGAAATTTACTAAGCTTTTCCATTTGTACTTCTTGTTTCCTTTCTTGTTCCAGTTGCCACTGCTGTCGTCTCTCTTCTTGTTCATTTTCTTTCTCTCCCAACCACTGCTGTAATCTCTTTCTTGTTTATTTTCTCATTCTTCTTGTTTCTTTTCTTTTTCTTCCAACAGCTGTTGTAATCTCTCTTCTTGTTTCTTTTCTTTTTCCTCTAACAATTGCTGTAATCTCTCTTGTTTATTTTGCTGTTCGAGCTGCCACTGTTGCAGGTTTTCTTGCCACTGCCGTAATCTCTCTTCTTGTTTCTTTTCTCGTTTTTCTTGTTTCTTTTGCTGCTCTTGTATTGCTGCCATCAAAAAAACTACAGCTTAGCAGATTTATTATTTAGGGAGCATTATAAGTAGTTATATTTTTAAAAGAAAAAAATACTATTGTTATAAATAACACATTCAATTGAACTAAAGTGTGCATGCCTATTTAAATATATTTACACATGGCTTGTGTATATCGTATATATACATACTGTTACGACAGCGGAGGTCACGTGACGCTAGTAACACGTCATATTCTCGAAGCTTCGTGAATCCTCGGGAGGTTACTAGACTTCGGCATTCTTTTATATATAAGACGGTCAAGACGTGACGGCAACAATGTAATGAATCTGTAATTGAACTGCGGACAGAGTATTTTTGAGTTGAGTACGTGAGACGTTCGTTGTGAATTATAGCGTTTTTTATAGCGCGGCTGTGGAAATTAAGTGTATTGCAAAGTTGTATTCAGAAAGAATAAATCAGTTTTATTCAAGAAAGGACTTGTGTTGCTAAAGTTTCGTTGGAACGAATTTACGGAAATTAACTAACGAACAAATTGGTATCAGAGAGTGGGACAGAAAATTAAAAAAAAGAAGAAGAAGATGGAAACGAGAGGCGGCAAATCAAATAAATTACAGTGAAAGCAATGAAGATTTTGTAGGTTTTGAACCAAACTAAATAACAGTAAACCTTTTTTTGATTTATGGTATTTTCTTATTTTGATGTTTTGAGCTCTTTTTTGTTTAGAACAATATATAATAATTTTTAAACTATCAAATTGAATTTTTATTCAATAAAAATCTTTCAGATGCAACTGCAGCTTTTTTCCCCCCCAAAACTTTGTCTTTAAAATAAGGGTGCGTCTTATATTCCGAAAAATACGGTAACTACAATAGTTACCACATCAAGTTTGTTACTTTTGTCTTGTTAAGCTAACTGTAATAGCTATCGCATCAAGTTCATGTTGTATTTGTCTGGTTAAGCAAACTGCAACAGCTATCACATAAGGTTTATGTTACATTTCTCTCATGATAGTTACTGGGTTTGGCTTGCCATCAAGTTAATGTTACATCTTTCTTAACCTAACTCAAACAGCTATCACATCACGTTCATGTTACATCTGTCTTGTTAAAAACACTAATACCTATCACATCAAATTAATGTCATATTTTTCAGGTTAAGCTAATTGCAATAGCTATCACACCAGGCTCATATTACATCTATCTTGTTAAGCTCAATCCAATACCTATTACATAGAATTCAAGTTATATTTGTCTGGTTAAGCTAACTCCAATAGT